CCCCCTTTTCTTTTTTTTAACGAAAAAACAAAACAAAAAACAGGGGTTCGCTTTTCACATGGGTAGGTTTGATTTATCGAGTATCTTCTTTCCCTTGGAATGCTATTTTCCACCCAGCACGGGTAGGTCCTGGCAGACAGGATCGAGTCAGCCCGTCTCTTAAATGGTTTAAGTTGTTTCAAAAGGAGCAGTAAAAAACTATACAGACAACCATTTATCTGTTCCTCAAAGGTGTCTTCTTTGTTATTAGTTTATTTGTGTGTTTGCTGGCAATGGTAGATTCCACACACATGTCTGAGTCATTCTTCTCCGAGGTAACCACCAAGGACTTTGATCCCGTCTCTGTGGCCAGTCGCCGATAACAAATATTTATGAACTGCTTACTTGGAGCTAGACAGCCGTTATCTCCTGCATCACACTTATCTATGACTTGGGACAAAAGGTTTTTGCAGGGTGTAAAAATTGGATTTCCGATCAAAACGGGCGTTGAGTGCTCATGGTAAGAGCGTAAACATATTATTCCATCGTCAAGCTGGAAGTCCTTTTCTTATTCCTTTGATACCATCAGTTGGCTAATATCATATCTCTCTCTCTCTCTCTCTCTCTCTCTCTCTCTCTCTCTCTCTCTCTCTCTCTCTCTCTCTCTCTCTCTCTCTCTCTTTGGCCTTTGCTTGTTTAGTTTGTGTGTTTGTTTTCGTTAAAGTACCACGATTGCTAAGACGTGTGACTTTCGAAAAGTCTCTTGACCGCGAAACGTCCGTAATTGAGTTTGTTTTGTTTTTCCTGGGCTCCAGCCAAAATATTTTGATGAGTATTGATGACCGTTTTATGGCTGTTTATCCCATGGATGTGATTGGACAGAAAAAGACGCCGGGAGTCTGAATCGCCAGATAATTATTATCAGCTGCTGTGTCTGCTTCGCAGCTGATCAACGCAAAAACTAGGTCACAATATTTGACAGGTTAGGAAAGGTTACGAGGTGAAAAGGCAAACTTTGAACCTGCTGAACTTATCTCTCAGAAGAATAACGACAATAAATACTGATATAATCGATGTTTGAATGTTTGGGGTTGTTTTGTTTGTTTGTTTGTTTGTTTGTTGTTGTTTTTTTGTGTGGGTTTTTTTTTTTTGGGGGGGGGGGGCACTACCATGTTCTATGACTTTACTAACCTTGTATTTTTCCTTTTTGTTTTGTTTGCTTGGTTCTAAATGAAAATAAATGTAAAAAGGTGCTTCAGTGTGCTCATACACACCAACGATATTACGATCCTGTTAATTTATATGACATGAATAAGTCAGTTCTTAGAATGCGTCAAAGAAAAACTGAGCAATTGATGGTTGAACTCATTCTTCTGATCTCAGTGACATGACAGAAACACGACCGGTGCCTCTACTGTAACTGTTAAAAGGGTATTACACGTTCAGTTAAAATTGACGGCTGTCCGTCCTCTTTGTCATAAGAAAATAGTACATGGTGCAGTCTTGGTAAATATCACACAATACATCCTCTTTTTTCGGACACTGTGACACGCTGACGATTTTTAAAATCATTTATGAACTAATTGAAAACTATGTCTTATTGTAAAAGTAATCACAAATTCAGTTCTAGAGTATCAATATTTAACAGAATAACCCCCGAGTGATTTTTTTTTCTTTCTGGGTTTTGAAGATAACAAAGAAGAAGTTTTTTGGGTTTTTTAAAGTTTAACCAGGATTGCATCATGCAATACTTTCATATAGATCTATCACAAGGAGGTCGGACAACTGTCCGTTTTAACTGAATGGGAAATACCCCATTTAGGGTTGTTTTTTCCCGCAGCTGTTTCCAGTTGGCGCGAGTTCTTATATATGGGTTATCTGATTTTTCAGCTCGGATTCAGTACGCCCAAAACCCTGATCGGCCCTGGCGAGCATGCAAGAATAAGATGGGATGATGGGGGGGGGGGGTGAAAACGTTGACAGTTTTAAGCAGAATATAATATAAAACTCTTTCTTTTCATCTTCAGATCCGTCCGCATCCAACAGGATGGGTCTTCAGTCAAGGAACAATGCAGCAGAAATCTCACTCACAATCTCACTCATTACTTTGGGTGAGTGGCCATCTGTGCAATATCCACGGGCTCGCTTTGTCATGCTGGTTTTCTGCTATTGTTGTTGTGATAAAAAAATTTTAATGGTGTTTTTGTATTTTTGTTTTGCTGTAGCCTTCGTTTCTTCTGCCGTTAGTGTTATTTTTGTTATTATTGTTGATGTTGTTGCTACTGTTCCTGCTGTCGTTGTGCTTTTTTCTATAGTCAGCTTTTCATTTAACAAGCAAGTCTAGTCAATCTAAGAATCTGTAATGAGTCTCAGAATATTATGAGTAAGAAGGTGTCAAAGGTATTTAGATAAGATAAGATAAGATAAGATAAGATAATACTTTATTAACCCGGTAGGAATTTTTTCTTGGCTGCACAGGACCGTATATATATATATATATATATATATATATATATATATATATATATATATATATATATATATATATATATACACGAAGGTTCAAAGGTACGTGTCACACTGAAGTATTTTCTTTTTTTTTAAGTTTTATTTTAGCATGGGGAGTTAAAGTTTAGCGTTTCTGTTAATAATCTTCGTATAACAATGTTCTGCCTGAGCAAATCATACTCACAAGAAAAAGTTGAATAAAATGTTTGTGCCTTCACATGACTTATTATACATCTTCCAACATAATCTCCCCAGTAACCCTGACATCATGCTTGCCCCAGGAGATAGATTCTCAAACTCCACATCGGCGCGAAAAGCGACACATCCTACAGATGTGCGAACTCGTCGCCGCACACACCAACAGGGGTTGTCTAGACTACAACAACTACGGCTGTTTCTGTGGTCTGGGCAATGCAGCTAGCGCCCATGTAGACGGTGTGGACGGGTGAGTCAACGGGTGGGAACAAACACCGTGCAGCCACCTGAAACCCTTTAGGACATACGCCTACAAACAAAAAACCTCACACAAACAAACAAACAGACGCGCAAACGAGCAAAACAAACAAACAAACAAAACGAACAAGCAAGCAGACGATTAGCAAAGTAAATCGATCTTCAAAACTTATTCTGTTGTTCTAATGAAGGAAATTGGCGAGAGTCGGCGAATTGATTTTGAAGTGATGTTTGGTGATGTGTAGTTCTGTTCTCCGTTGGAGTTCGCCCATTGCTATATACAAGCAGAGCGCGTTGCACCCTTAATGAACATGAAATAGTATGAGTATTATGAGTGATAAGTGTACCCAAAAAACGCACAGAACCACCAGCTTCTACATTGTTGGCCTACTTCCTGGTACGTGTTGTAAGCAAGGTGTGAAGGACTCGAAATCTAGTCTCTTTTTGTTGTTGTTGTTGTTGTTGTTGTTGTTGTTGTTGTTGTTGTTGTTGTTGTTGTTGTTGTTGCTGTTGTTGTTGTTGTTGCTGTTTGTTTGTTTGTTTGTTTTGTTTTCTCTCAGGTGATTAAGGTGTTAAAGATATATTTTCATTTTTGTCTTTTTTTCCGGGCGGGGAGGGGGGGGGGGGGGCAGTAAGAGAATTGCCGTTGTTGTAGTTTCTTTTCTTTGCTTTTTGTTTGTTTGTCTCTAATACTTCCTTTACATACAATTTATTTTATGTATATATTCAAACGAGGAAATTGCTAGTGCCAATGTCTCACACTGTCGTTACTATGGCGGGTGGTAGGAGGGCGCCTGTTGTAGGTCCTTCTTCTTTACGTTCCCTTAGTTCTCTCTGTCTGTCCATCTTACTTTTTCCCAGCACTAAAGTACCACTATTGTGTCGATGTGCTTCTCTTTTCTCAAACATAATGAACGAATCGTCAGTGTGTCTGTGTGTGGTTTGCGGGTGTTCTTTTGTGGTTTGCTCCTTCTTCCCAATCAAACATTTCCCATGCCATTATCTCTCCTCCTTTTTTGTGTTTGTTACTATTTTGTAACACCTCGAATCTTCGGCACTTATGTGACCTAATTGTGTTGCAAGTGCCGTACGCCTCTCACTAAAACAAAAACCCACTGTGTGTCCCTCAGATGTTGCCGAGTTCACGACCGCTGCTACGGTGAAGTAGCCTGCTTCTGGATGTACCCACAGTTTGTGGGCTACTCTGTGGAATGTAACAACGCTTCTTGCCAGTGCACTGGTGAGTCGAGTCTCGGACTTAGGACTTGAGGTGTCATCATCATCATCATCATCATCATCATCATCATCATCATCATCATCATCATCATTATCTTCATCGTCATCATCATCATCATCATCATCATCATCATTATCATCATCATCATCACCATCATCATCATCATCATCATCATCATCATCATCATATTGTTGTCATTGGAGCTGCTACTTCTAAATAAATACTAGTGTTGTTGCTCTTGCTGCTGGTATCTCGATGGCTAATTAAAAAATGACACGTTGTTTTTTGTTGTTGTTTTTTTGTTGTTTTTTTGTTTTGTTTTTAATTGTTTTGGTTGTTGCTGTTGTTTGTTTGTTTGTTTTAGGGCGGGGTGGGATGTTTTTATTAACGTTATCTCCATCTTTCCCTCGTTCTGTTTACTTCCAAAAGAAGTGTTTCTCTTGTCCCCCGACCAAAGTCTCCTTCGCCTCCCACAGACTCACCCATCTTCTCGCCGTGCGCCTACACCACATGTCAGTGTGACCTGGAGTTGGCGCGATGCCTGGGCAGATCAACCTACAACCACGGCTTCAGCAATTTCGACCGACGAGAGTGCAACAGACCCGTCCGACTTCGCACTCAAAGACGACGCAGACAGACCAAGAAGAAGAGGAAGAAGAAGTGGGCAAAGTCTCTACTGCACAAGCTCAGGAGGAGTTTCTTTTAATTAACGTCTATTAATGTTTAGGTAGAAATTTGTTTTAGAGACTGTCTGTTAGATGATATCTGCTGAAGCTACGAGAAACAACATGTTTTACAGGCAATCTTGAACACAACTGATAACTTACTTTTATTCTGTACTCACGAGCGCACACACTCACCAACGCACGCATGCGGGTACACACACACACACACACACACACACACACACACACACACACACACACGCACACGTACACACACACACTCACGCATACACACACGCGCGCATACACCTACATGATATACACACATACATCATACACACAAACACGCACACGTACACAGATACGTTGTATACACACAGACAAACACACACACACGCACACACACACTCATAGACAATAGCAGTGCAGGGACCCTCCATTCTTGTGAGACAATTGGATGCTTTGAGAGCGGTCTTACAACTTTGCAGGAAGTAGATTCACAAACTGGTGTCTCCCTCCATCTCTCCCTCACTGGGTGATGCAGGCCAAACTTATCCTCGGATGATTTGTTTGATGTTGGGTCTTCCTCCTTATAATATGCACCCATTGACTCCGCAAAGAGTTGATAGTTGTTGTTGTTGTTGTTTTTGGGGGGGGGTTGGTTGGGGTTTTTTTGGGTTTTTTTTGGTTCTTTTTATTAAATCTTAACAGGTATTTAGAAAGTAGCTGTCCCTGAGCTAATCGATTCGTGCCTAGAGTTTCTCACGTCCCCAAGGCCGTAAGGTCGATCTGTCTAGGCGATATATATTTATGCCGTGTTTGGAGTCTACATGGTGACCCTTTCTTTCTGCCTGTTCTCTGTAGCGTTACTCCTCTGGTACCTGACCCTCATCCATTCCAATTACTTGAGTGAACCAACTCATGCGTCGTCGCTTAAAGGGCATTAACGTATTATATTGCTTAGGGTAACAACTCTCTGTGAGATAGTAAATTGTTGTTGTTTTGTTTTTTTCTAAACTGGTGGCGTCAGCTTTCTGAACAGCAGGGATGTTAATCATGTTGTGGTATCAGTGGATTTCCAGAATGCATTGGTGACCGTCGATGTACACTGTTGGGTTGTTTTTTCTTGGCCTATGCCCATTGTGAATCATGTCTTACTTTCAGCTTCCACTCTTGTCTGTGTACACTTGTCTAATTTGCAGCACGCGCATTGTAGAGTTTTAGTTCAGATTAAATTGAGCAAGAGAATCACTTCGATGCTGTAAGGACAAGTTAATACATAGACTGGGAAAGAGCAAGTCAGAAGCGTGAAAAATAGAAACAGAAAGGTAGAAAAGAAGTGAGACTAGCTGGTGGTTTCCTCCAACAACCTACAGCGTAAACTTTGATCTTGGCGTGTACTGTCCGCGTCCTCTTTGCTCTACGCCTTTTTTGTTTAATACAGACCCCGTGATGCGCCCTTGTTCCGGGGCCCTTAAGGTATCGAGTCTGAGAGAGAGAGACCGAGAGAGAGAGAGAGAGAGAGAGAGAGAGAGAGAGAGAGAGAGACCGAGAGAGAGATCGAGAGAGAGACCGAGAGAGAGAGGAGGAGGAGAGCGAGAGAGGGGGGAGGGAGAGAGAGTAGGGGGGGGAGAGACGGGAAGGGAGGGGAGTATTTTGGTTTGTAGCGTGGATGAGGAGATCATATTGAGCATCTGCGTCATTTACACTGACGTCATGTCAGGTAGCGTTGGAGCCGCCAGATCCCAAAAAGATTGTAAATATAGACATTTGCACAAGAGCGTAAACAGTTGCTACGGCCTGAGAAAGAAGATTGCATCAGGGGCTGGGGGTGAGTAAGGACATGGAAACCGCAATGTGACTTTGGGTTTCTCCGCTCGTACGAGGTGTCTATTCAAGCCAACAGAGGCTCAGATCAGGTGAGCAGCATGACGTGTTATATTATGCACACCACCCTTCCCTGAGACGTGTTTGTTTAGAGGTTCCAAAGCCTCCAAGAGGGAATGCGCAAGGTGTGCAAGTTACGTACACACGTATTTACGTTCTGTCTCCGACTCTCCTCCAAACCCCGCAACCTTCCATCTTAACATAAGTTACCTGTTCAGCGTGCGCACCAAGCTAGTGCTCAATGCTCCATCACTTGGAGTTTAGCCCAGTGTACAGCAGTGTACACGGTGCATCGGAGCTTAGGAAATCGAGACACAGAACGTGCGGATGGAAAGAGTGACGAAATCGCCCCCCCCCTCTCTCTCTCTCTCTCTCTCTCTCTCTCTCTCTCTATCTATCTATCTATCTATCTATCTATCTATCTATCTATCTATCTATCTATCTATCTATTTATCTATCTATTTATCTCTTTCAAATTGTAGGTTGATTTTTAACTCAGTTCACTAATTGCTCCTTAAGATTAAGAAAAGGGTATATCCATTCAGCTAGTTTTTGTAACATCTTATTTTTATGGTTTGAATTATTTTGGCAAGTGGAGCTTCAATGAAGGCTGCATCTATACAATACCTTACATTGAAACGTTGTTGTTGTTGTTGTCATTATTTTTGTTGCTGTTAATTTTGTTGTTGTTGATCTGTTCGTGTCGTTATTGATTGTCTACCTACCTGTGTGACTGAGTTTTTGCTCGATGTGTTTTAAATTTTTCATGAGTTTACTCAAAAATAGGAATAGTTAAGAAAGAGTGAGTAATGCTTGGTGACAATGTCAGTGAAGTAATTATGGTAGGTTACATTTCTCTTAAACCTGACAGTTGTGTGACTAAGCAGTGTATCTCGTAAATGATTCAAAATGGCAATTTCCGCTGACATTATTTTCTATTGACAAGATTGGTTTATGCATAATAATATGCTCTTATCACTTCGTCTGTGGGCTTTTTTTTTCTTTGCAAGTGTGAGCATTATGTGTATGGGCGCATATGTATGAGTGTTTGTGGGTGGGGGGTAGGGCTGGTTCGTGAGGAAGGGGGGCGAGGTAGGTGTGTATGAGTATATAAGTACGTATGTGTAATATAATAAACAAAGAATGTATTTGAGAAATGCTATGAGTACGAGAGGCATATCAGATAATAGTTCGCTCTTCGTACTCGTTAGCTTGAATGTCGTGCATTGAGTGTGGTGTTACTTACATTTTATTGTGTGCGTACTGACAAATGTGATGAGTGTAGTTTCAAAAGATTATAAAAGGATGTGCATATAGAGCAAAACGAACTCTCAATAAAGAATATTCCAAGTTATTAGAGTTTCTTTATTCCATCTTTGTCTTGATTTACTTCGACGTCCCAGCGTAATGAAGAAGTCTGTACTACTGTAAGCTGAAAAAACATGTTTTTTCCGGTGGAGCGTAAACATAGAGAGGCCTCGCATAATAGTTTTGTTCCTTCATTGGGGGAAAGTACATAGCTGTATAATGTTTCTGTTATAACCATCGCATTTAAACGTTTGAGATAAAGATATTTCATGCTGAGGTAATTGTTGCATCCCGAACATTTCACAAAACAAATATGAGAAGTTGTCTTAGTTATAATGCATGTACCACCGGCGTCTGTAGTGTAGTGGCTAGGCACTTCGTTCGTTGTCATACGGAGGAGAACAGAGTTCGATTCCCGAGAGGGTAGAATCTTTTTAGAGTGCCTGGTTCTTTTTGCTGGGATGTTTGTTTGTTTGTTTGCTTGGTTGATTGGTTTTTGGGGTTTTGGGGGGAAGGTTTTTTAAAAATCCTTTTCTATTTATATGAGATTGACCCCCTCTGATTAGTAGAAAAAAGTGCGCATGATAGTGTGCAATGGTGTATTACGTGCATACTTAGTATGACAAGTAACTGTTACAGATAGAGATTCCAGGATTATAGATGTAAGTCATTGATCTGAGAGCAATTTTATAACGATCTTAGAAATAATGATGGTGATGAGTGATGATGTGTAGCGTTAGTCCTATCTTCCTCTGCTCCAATGAGTTATCATACGAAGGAGAACAGCGTTCGATTCCTGAGAGGGTAGAATCTTTTTAGAGTCTCTAGTTCTTTCTGCTGGGATGTTGAATCCCTCTCAGCCCGGGTTGATCCTGACAGACAAATGTCGGAAGCCCGCCTCCTTGATTATCTAAATTGTTTTGATGGGGCGGTACAAACAACCACGTTTGACTTTGAAATTTAGTTGTAACTTCTCTTCATTATGTAGAAACATCCACGGCCGAGTTGAGGTGATGTTATTCAAAGGCTGTACTCTTACGGCCACGATTCGCAGAGAACAAACAAGGGTAACAGTAAAAGTATGAATGACATCGTGTTGGAGTGCTACACACAAGGGCGGTAGTCAGTCACCCCCCCCCCCTCCCCCTCTTTTTGGAAAGAGCAAAACTGGTCCCTTGACAAACCACTCATGACGTTTGAACTGCAGTGCTTATGAGTCGGTGGGCGAACTGTTTTGCTATAACAAGCCTTGCATCATTCTTTGTTTTTCTTATTCCTCCCGCACCAAAACAAAGACGTGCGCACCACCGCTACAACAGTACAAGCGTCCGCCCCCGATATCGTGCAGGCGAGAGGTAGAGTACGTTTGTCCCAGCTCCAGAATCTGATGTGTTCCATATGTCACTTCCGCAAGCTCTTACTGACTTCCAACGGTGCCCTCCCTTCTCCTGCAGCCCTTTTATTCTGTACACACGAGCGCACACACTTACCAGTATATGTGGAATAAAACATGATTATGTTACTACACCAGGGGCGGCTGGTCCATAGAGCACAGTCGTGCACTGCCGCCCAAAAATTTTAGCGCACAACACCCTCAAAGTGACAACAAAAGAACCTTTACCATCCATCATCCAATCAGTTTTACGTACAAGTTCCTCGCCAGAGCCTATTCGTTCATTACAACATCTACAACAGCTCTACAATATATAATATACCATACCAAGTTCTTTTGCTTCACCCAAGTAAAAAATAGTATGTTCAGTGGTGTAATCTGTCTCGGAAAATGCTCTATGGGACGACCCAAACAACGATGACGTTTTGACCGAGTTTCTTAGTTCATAAATATTGATAAGACGGCACAATCTCGATGTGCACCAGCCGAACAAAGCCCATAGAGGCAGTCTAAAAATAACGCAATCTCAAACCAGTTCACGATAGCCTACACAATTCAATGCCCGTATTATGATAGCTTTGGAGCAATCCACCGGAGTGCTCCCAGCGATGTGCGATTGGTCCATTGTCTTGCCATTTGTATCTCTAGCCCCACCTCTGTAACCCTGAACTTGAGTGAGGTCAACATGACGTAATTAGGTCATTGTGTTAGAAGTTGGAATGGTGTAGTGGTGAAAGTTTTATTACTCGAGTGTGTATTCCAATTCAGGATGAATGAAGTTGATTGCAAATAAATTCAGTTCACCAAACAAAGTAAAAAGAAGAGAGTGAATGAATTAAGTCCTCACCAAACTAAAAATATCAAAATAATACAATAAATAAAAAGTGGAGTGGCTTACACAACAAATAATTATACTCCTTGTAGACCTAGATTAGGCCTAATGTTTCTCCTGTCTGCTTTTTGGAACTGAGGACCCCAAGTAGTCTAAGACAGGTTTTACTGATCTTGTCCATGTGAAACAACGCATTAAAGTCGAAAGTCATCAAGAGCGCACGTAAAAAATGCCGTTAAGTATCATACTTTCGGACAAGTAAACATAGCAGCGCAGTCGTAGGTCATCGCATTGCAACGTCTCACAATAAAGAACTGGTGAGAAAGAACAGGCACGTATTGTGTAAGGTTATCTAGTGTATTTTGTCCTGTGAAACTCACGAACTCTCCCTTCGCGGTCATGAAAAGGGTGATTTGTCGTGGAGCTGAGGTATTTTTCACTAATGCTATGCAGGCTCTTCGACATTTTTTGCCCACTCTACAAAATGCATCTGCGTTTGTCACCGGAATATTCCATGTCTGAAACAAGGTGGAATTTACAGTCTCGGCTAATTAGCACAGTTTTCATTTGGAAAGGAGAGATCCAGCTCTGTCTTGAAGAAATTCAATCTGAGCACTGGGACGATAATTCCATTCACGATGGTATCCTTAATGTATTAAAGAGCGAAACATTTCTCTTCTTTTTGCACTTTTTCAACAAAGTATACACGCGCGTTGACGCTGTTTATGAGATCCTTTAACACAGAAGTACAACGCCCATAGCAGCCTAACAAGTTTTAGACACGTTTAAAGTTGCTGTCGATGAAATGAGAAACAGTATACTTGTTCCATCAACAAGACAGACAACAGAGAAACACGCTTCCAGGAGACGCAAACACAACACCAACGAAATTGCTGCAAAGCAGGCCTGTGACATAATAGTTACTCAAAATGTGACAGTTTCTTGAAGCAAAATAAAATCAATGCACTCTCAATCTGCGATTCATCCAAATTCCAGGAGTATCAAAAGTCGTTTCCAACAGTTCTTTTAGGATCGTTTACAGAAATATTACTGTTTTGCTTAAAATCAAATTACAAACAGAATTATAAGTATTACATTGCAATGAAATATTTAAATCTGCTCAGTGTTGTACAGGTATAATCCAGGGCCTTTATTCAACTCTGAAGGACTAAAAATCCGAGACAACATTTAGAGAAGTATGCATAATACCAGAAATCGCACTGACGTACGTTTATGTCGATCCACATGGACATCATTGACAGCATGCCCAACTTAGTCAACATAAAAATGGACACTTTTGCTCCAGCCAAAGAACGAAAGGAAAGCTTCTTCTTCAAATAGATTTTCTCAAAACAGGTAGGATGAAGAAAACTTCTAATTGACATGCCCTTGACTATCTTCAACCTGCTTTAACCTAATTGTGCACGCCCACTTTTTAGACCCACGAGCCGCCCCTGATTATGTTTTAAACACAATAGTCATTAAATAAGAAGAAAAATGCTCAAACGGCATCTCCTGCGCGGTCTTAGAGACTATTCTTCTTACCGCCAGCCAGCTGTTCACATGTACTATAAAGCCCAAAGTGTTTAGTGGGGGGTTCTTGTTTTTTTCCCTTAAAAACATGTAGTGTGTGATAAATTGTAGTTTCTTAATCTGGGGTATCGGTTGCATGTGGCCGAGAAATATTTTGTTGAAATTGGAATGATAAAACTTTAGGGAAAAATAACAAGAAAAGATACATAATGTTGGAACATGGGTTGCTGTTTGTTTTTTGTCGTTTGTTTGTTGTTGGGTTTTTTGTGTGTGTTGAGGGCGGGGGGGGGTTGTTTTTTAGTTCAAAGAGTTTTCTTTCACTCTAAAAAAATATTGCTTTCTGGCTTAGAACAGTTGAACAGCTAGTGAACGAAACACACCCCAAGAACAACTCAACAACAAAACAATCTCCATAACAACCATTTATTTCCGTGTATAACAATGTGCAGAAACATGATGCCTTCAAATACTTTATACAATATTAAAATATAAAAAACATCTTCACGTTGTTCAGTTTTCAACAGTAAAAAGAAAGAAAGACAAATAAAGAGGGACGAGAAAACGTGTTATTCGGGTGTTTTATAAAGACATGAAGAGGAGGATACTGCACAAACGCTGCCGCCTCTATAGATAGATTATTCTCTACAAAAACAAGTTAGATGTTTTAATGATTTTTACAAGATATCGGACAACAATTTGTTAACATCAGCTTAATAAATAAAGAGAGTGAGAGAGAGAGAGAGAGAGAGAGAGA